TTTATATGTAAACTTCTGAAACACCTATGATGATAAATAACCTTTAGTGCTTCCATTATAATTTCTTAAGTACTGCACAAATGCACTTCACCTGTTATGTTGGAGGTGCTTAGTTCTGCAGGGGTAAATGCTGAAACCTAGCTAGTCTGCCATGTGGTAGACCTGGCTACAAGGTACAGTTCTCCTGAGAGCTACTGGCAGCTGGAGATCCTACCTCAAAGGCAGAGGGGAGCCATGAGGCCTCTTCTGGTTCTTGCTGCACTAAGGCCAGGGAGGAGAAGGGTTTGAGATGTGCAGCTGGAGGCCCATACAGCCATGTTCCCTCTGCTGCAGAGAGGTGGGAAAGAGACATCCTTAAGTCTCCTTCTTGCAAGTTGGCTTGTAAGCAGCTTCTGTCTCTTGTTTTCTGGATTAGTTATGTCAAATGAATACAATTAAGGACTTGCCATGTGAAATGTCGTGTGGTGGGATCCAGGCATCTTGGTGGTAATGCCTGAGAGAAGGTACATTAGCTCCAGGAAAGGGAAGAGTTTTCAGCAAGATTGGCTGTGACTGCCAGATGCTGCAATCGTCAGATGTTTTTTTCCCCCTTTTCCTCGGAGATGTGCTGGGACGAACTGATATCTTTGCTTCGAAGTACCATCACTTTGTAGCTTCATTGCTGCACCACAAGGCCTGATGCCTCTCAGCACTGTCTGTCTCTGCTGCACAGCACCTCACTGTCAGATGCATCTTGCAGCAAAGCAGCTCTGTGAGGATCAGCTGAGGAATGTGGAATGATCCTGCCAGCTTACCATGTTTGAGCTGTGTGGTTTAATTTGGATGCTGCTACAGTGAAACACAGGACTTGCCTTTTTTTTTTTTTCCTTTTTCAAGGGCTAGGTTTTTTTCATGTAGCAAAAAATGCTGCTGTAGTACCTGTGTTCTGCAGATGCATCTTTTGCGTGTCGGCGTTTCTTGGCATCATCAGGATTTTCCAGGATAAGATGCATTTATGTTCTTCTGAAGCTAATGGCAGAGCTGAGCCTGTGCCAGGATGGCTGAGCTGAAACTATTGGCTCTGACTGATGATGCTGTTGGCCATTTCGAAGTCTTTGCAGTGCACATGGAAGAAAGTAGCTGTTTGCCAGTTTCTTCATTTTAATATGTTTGCAAGTATTTTTCTTCTGTATTCTTTTCATTTTCTGATACAGAACTTGCACGGTGTATGGGGAAGAAGCTATAGTGAAACATATTTTGTGATATCACTGGCACATTTATTAAGATTTGAAGAGCAACAAATATGTTTCCCACACTGCTGGAAGTATAGTTGTGTGGTGTTTCTCTGCTTCGCTGGTCAGAGCTAAATTGTCAGTGGTGTTTGTGCATAAACTCTGAAGAAATCTGTGGGACTTTTGCCAGAATATGTGTAAAAGGTTGCAAAACTTCACTCTTAATAGATGTGTAAAGGCAGATTTCTAGCAACAGAGAACATTTTCTAGAACATGTCATCCAGTCAAGATTAAGGCTTCAGTATGACAATGCTTCTCCCAGGGGACTCTTCCTACCAAGCAGTATCCCACGCGCATTAACACTGGAGTTTTGGATGTGATAGTGCTGTCCAGTCCACTGTGTCTGGGAGGTACACATGCCTGTGGCCATTCCTCCCAGGCTAGATGATGAGTGTAGACTGACAAAAAGCTGTCAGACTATATGCAGTGCAAGTTCAGAGTTGGGGTGTTTCACTTCACAGCTTTTCTAGGGCACATTTATTCTTGCATTTATGTAGACATAAGGGATGGCAGTAAAAGAAACAATCCCTAACAGAACAAAATTTAATTAATGGACATGGTCATGTAGACAAAACAGCAGAGAGAGAATTTGACTTGTTTCCAGTGAGTACCTGGACAGGTGCTTTTAACATTAGGAAACTGGAAGGAGTGCGGATTAGGAGAGAAGGCTGCCATTTGTTGATTAGTTTGGCCATCTCTGTGGGGCTAGGATTTGCATCACATCTCTAAAAGTGACTGTTTTTTCAGACATGCATAGGATTGGAGGTTAGTGACCCATCCTAAACCACTCAATTTTTGAGACTGTTTTGTAATTGGTGGCCTTAAGTTCCATTTAATGAGGGGATGGGGATCACTTTTTCCTAAGAAACACATGGATGCATTTGAAACAGCATCTCCAATTAAATGATTCAGCAAAAGTTGGTAAAAAAATTTCAATTCACAATTCTTGAAACTGGCCATGTTTCCAGGTGGTAGAAGTGCTTGTTAAACTAGTTGCTCCTCTATAGTTACTCGAGATCAACTTGCAAAAAAGATAAAAATAAAGTATTTTTTTAATACTTCTATAATTGTGTGAAACAGTTATATCTTTCACTCATGCATACCACATCCTAACTTTATGAAACACCGTGCAGAAAGTTTATAGAAAAATCAAGTCCCGGGTTAACTTTTACACCAGGATATGCTCTATACCGAGATAGTGTAAAACCGACAGGTTGTTACTGGCTTGAATAGTTTCCAACTCAACAGAAAACATCAACAGTCCTACTGGATAAAATCTTCATAAAAACTACAGCCACTAGTTAATTTAAACTGTTAGTGCATAAAACAGAACCGAGGCACCACAAATACTCTGTCAAGGCACTTGTTGCCTTTGGATTTCCACAGTGCAGTACAGATCACCGGGAATGACCTCCACAGCCAGGAACTACACTCCTGTTCTGCACTTGGGGAAAATAGGCCCATTCAACTCTGCAAGTCTTCTCTTCCTCACTGAAAAAGAAGAGAGAGAGGAGTCAGTCATGGCAACGGGAAAATGTGGGTGGCAGACGTGGCTTAACTGCTGTGGAAAGGAGCTGAGAGACACACTTTTCTCCCAGGAAAGAAACAGGATAGCATCAGCTTCTGAATTCCTGCTTTAAGCAGCAGGCACAGCCTTACACAGTTTAAAATCAAGGAAGCTACTCGAGAAACTACATTCAGCCTTACCTCCCTTATTCTACAGTCAATTATTTTTCACACATTTTGTCTTTATAACTGGACTTTGGCCAAAGCATCATCTGATGCTGATGGGCAGCAGCAGGCAGATGCCACAGTTTTTCCTTTGATAATTTTTCTCAATTGCCTTTTCGCAAAAAAAAATTTTTAAAAAAAAAGCTCGTTTCTTATCCTAAGCCTCCAGGCTTCAGCCCCCTGATCATGGTTAACATGGTCAAAGCAGTCTCATATCTAGTCTTACAGGTGATGTACACCTCTGACAGCTGCACTCATAACTTTTCAAGAAATATGTGCAAAGAAAAAGAGGAAAAAACATATAATGAGGATGCAGAAATTAGCTCATGAGGATGAATGTAAAAGCCTTCATAGCTGGTTCATACAGAGCATCTTAGAGAACAGAAGCTATAGGACCTAAACCAGGTTCTGGTAGCATCAACTGGTGACAGGCAAGAGCACTGAAGTGGAGCACAAGCAGAGAGCTATTGCTGACAGGGAGGAAAATAAAGTTTTTCTGTACTTATACATTGTCCAGGTGTAGAGCTGTGATGCTATTGCCAGAGACCATCAGACCGATCAATATGAGCTGCAAACAAGAAGCAAACCAGACAAAGAATGTAGATCTTAGTGTTCAAAGAGGGAAAATGCACAACTGGTACACGGAAGACAAGTTGTGAGTTCCTCCCTTTAACAGCAGGAACAATTAAAAAACTAAATTCAAATCTTCCAGCTGATTACTTTGAATGCCGTGCGCTGCATAGTCATTAAGAATCTTGCACTGTTTCAAAGGACACAGAACAGCAAGCCTGCCCCAGTGCAGCTCTCGTAACCAGGAATGCAGCCACAGGCAGAAAAAATATGCAGTGAACCATAATACTGAACATTTTGTGTGACCCCTGAAGAACTGACACATACCTCTGTGCTTGGCTGTGCTTCCTAGGAGCATGGCACTGGCTGAAGCAAGATTGATTCTCATTACTTATTTTTAAAACATGACATATTTATCATCTGTCTCAATATGACAGCTGTTGAGTACAGCATGGTGGGTATGTTAGCTGCATTCAATACTGCTATGCTGGTCTGATTTCCAGTGCTCTACAGCAACTTATAGCCAAGCAATGGAAAGCCTCGCCCACGTGCTTTGGCTGAAACAGCAGTTTGTGGACTTGCCCACATTTTGCTTCACAAGCACATCTGATCACTTCATTGAGGGTATAAAGATATCTCAAAGCCACGTGGCTTCCCACATCTCCCTAGAAACAGTTCCAGTTTGTTTTGCTGAAGGAGATGGGCCAAATCCTATGGCTGTCAAAGTTCAACTCTACTACTTTTCATCTCCTTGTTAAAGTGGGAGTGAAGCTGGAGGAAGACAAGCAGTTGGCAGGAATCACAAGTGCTTGCTCATAACCCATGTGCCATATGCCATATCACAAGCTGTACCGAACTACACCAGCAGCTCTCGCACCTTCCCAACAATAGCCACAGTTACTGCAAAAAAACACTACCTTTTCTGGGAGTTCTAGCTGCCCAATGTCTCCCAGTTTGGAGCACAACCCATTGCTTGGCTGACAGGAGCTGTGTTAAGGAGCCAGTCAGTGAAGGCTGCCTTCCTTCTCAATGGGCTAAGCACGATCAGGCCCTTCAAGGGGTGGATTCTAAATCATACACCTACTGGAGCTTTCACATGAGCAATTCTACCCTGTTCGCACCAGGAAGTGCCCACAGGACCTTCCCACGTTTCCTGGCTTGCAGCCAGCCCAACTTACCTAGGTCATTGTTATTCATCATGGCATTGGAGGCACGAAGCCGAGGACCTTGTTGAGTGAAATGGTACCCAAACTTTAGTAGGGAGGTGTTTTTTTCCAGCATATTTGCGATTTCCATTTCTACTTTGTTGCCCAAAGGCTGACTCTTTAGAAAACAGAAAAGCAAGCTGGTCAGGTCAGAGCATGATTCAGAGTGAGCACTTAGATCTACCATCTCCATCCCTCCCCTCCTTCTCTGGACCTCGTGGTCCATTTGACATTTCTGACTTGGAGCTGGTAAAACAAACTGCTGGCCTGTTCTTGGTACAACAGTGACTCCAGCTCCTCCAGCAGACATTCCCACAAGCCCTTTTGCCCAAAGACTTTATTTCTTGGACAGATGAGCAGCTAGGTGACATCTGGAGAAACTAGGATTTTGAACTCCCAGTCATCTGTCCCCAAGCTCCCCATAGCTCAGCTGCCTCAGCCTCTGGGTTTCTAGGGGAGCTAAATTTGCCACAGCATTTGTTCCACTT